GTAAACTTATACTTTTTATTAAAACTTTAATTAAAAGACTCTAGAGTGGATATAATAATTCACACGCAACTTTGCAAAAACGAAGCGTTTTAGTTTCGTAAATTTGGGAAAATTTCAATTTCTCCTTCTCAACAGAATTAATCGTACCTAGCACCATTCCTTATTATAAAATATTTTACTAAATTTCTTAATTAGCGTTGAAGTGACGCTGGGAAATAAATGAGATTTAAATAGCGAAGTTTTGCAATAAGCAGGGTAAATTCCGCGATTCTAAACTTTGATAAGACGAAGCGCCATAAATGTTACAAATTTCAAGTTCCTCTTCTCAACAACATTTATCAGTCTTGATATTATCTGAAACCATTATTTGCGATAAATAATTTTGCGTTGAATTGGCAAATAAATGAAATTGAGACGGTGATTTTTTGTTTGGAAAAAAATGATTCAGCTTGAGAAAGAGTAGTGGATAAATTTACACATTTGGACAAAATGAAACGTTGCAGGTTCATAAATTTTAGGAAATTTTTGTTTATCGTTATCTGAATCCATTATTTTGAATAAATTACTTTGCTAAGTTTTATATTTGTTGAATATTGGCAAATAAATCTATTACAGCATTTTCTTAAATTTAGCACATTTCAGTTTCTTCTTGTCGACAAAAGGATGAACGGTCAAGTTAAATCTGATAAAGCATTATTTGGGATAAATTATTTTGCTAATTTTTTTACCTATCGTTAAATTCTCTCTAAAAACGCCCTTGAGATGGTGAACTTATTTGTGAATAACTTAAAGAACATTTGATGAATTTACAACTTGGATAACAAACGCAACATTGTAACTGCATAAATTTCAGAAATTTCAGAATCCACCAGAAACTATTAGTTGGGATGCATAAATTCCCTAAATTTATAATTTGGCTTGGAGCATTGAGAAATAAATGAAATTGAGACAACGCATTTTTTTCGAAAAAGCATTAATCCTGCGCATCTTTTAGAGTGTACAAATTTACGACTTGGATAAAAAGAAACGTCGCAGTTTTGTAAATTTAGGAAACAATCGTTACCTGAAAATATTATATGGGATAAATTATTCTGCAAAGTTTCTTACTTGGCGTTAGACATTAGATCAAAGTGAATGAAAGCAGTTTCATAAATTTGGCAAATTTTAGCTTATTGTTTTCCACAAACTTTTTACCTGAAATTTGTGTAAAATTATTGTATACAATTTCTTATTTGATGTTGAACTTAAATATTAATAAATGAGTTTAAAGTGGCGAGTTCTTTTGGGTTAAATTAATTCTGCGTTGAGTACGAGTTGGTCGACTTGTCCGTTGGATTATACATAAAAAAGTATTGCAATTAATTCATACAAGATCGGTCCAAATAAGATTATTTTAAGCAAAATATTTCAATAAACTTTGTCATTAAATAGGCCGCTCAGATTAGCATAGGCAAGGCCCTATGGCTCAGAGGTACGAGGGTAGGATTGTCACCACGCAGTCACACGTTCGATTCCTCTGGCCGGGAAGCTATTGCTAATCCTACTCGGCTCGGTGTTAGTACGGGGTAGGTGCTGTCTCGTGACAGGGTGAGCCCAGCCATACGGAATGGCAATGTCACTGTGTACAGCCCCTAGCAGAGTCCGTTCTCTGTGGGGATGAGACAACTTGCTACGAAATTATGGCAAGAAGTCGCCATCTGAGGCTGAAAAGCAGAGAAATCTGAGTCCTGGCGATGTAAAACTGTCACATTTTAACATTTTTAACATTTTAACATATAAATTGAGAGAGATTAATCAAATTTTTGCTCGGCAGAGTAATATAAAACTTTGCTAAATATTTATGAAAATGCCAGTTTTGCGTTTGCAACAAAATTCACCTGGTCCGTAATTTTAAGAAATTATTTATTTCCAAATTTGATATTTGGCATTGAACTTAAAAAAATAAATTTGTCGTAAATAAATCACATTAGGAGAGAAAATTTTAGGGGATAAATCAATTCTGCGTAAGAGAATGGATCAAGTTGTTGCGAAATATTGCAGTTTTATAGGTTGCAAATTTATGCAAAATCGTTACATATATGATTAGTTTTGAGTAAAATATTTAACTCATATTAGCAAATAAATTAAGAGAGTTATTAATTTTTTTTAAGCAGAGTATAAAAAAATTGGCGAAATATGAAAATGTCAGTTTTGTGTTTCAAAAAAATAGGTGAGTACGAAAATGTCACAGCTTTATTTAATTCTACCAAAAAATTAACCTGAGAATTGTTGTCCTAAAATTCTTTATTTTCAAATTTCTTATTTGGCCTTGAACCTTCTCAGTTTGTAACTTTGATAAAACGAAGGAGTTCAGTCTCACAGGAAATTTCAGTTTCATGAATTTAAGAAATGTTATAGTGTCATAAATTTATCAATTTCTTATTCTCCACAACGGACTTTACTTCTCTAATATGATCAATATTAATTACTATTAATTGTTATATTTATTACTAGTAATAACTATAATTGTTAACATTATTAAATGAAATTGAGAGATGAGGATGTCCTGGTAAAATCAAAATTACACCAGACGGGTGAGGTTTAGGGTCAACAACTGTATTTTATAAATTTCTCGAATGGTTTTGTCAGTTAATGAACCAGAGTAAAAAAATTTACATGCAAGCCATCCTATGCAAAGCTGGGGCAAAAAAGTTGCATAAAAGTGACCTAGTGTTACCACGGGGGATTCTGAACCAAGTCCTTAAGTTTCTTATTTGGCGCTGAACTTGCTTGCAAATAAATAAAATGGAGAGGGTGAAATTTTACTAAATAAGAAGCAAACTTACTTCTGCGTTGCATAAGAGTGGGTCAATTTGCGGGGTGGATTAAGCGAAATATTGCAACTTTTTAGTTTGCAAAATTAATGCAAAATCGGACCTTACTATTTTTACTAAACTTTTTCATTAAATATATCATGTTTAATCAGCGAATAAATTGTAATTTAAGCTCGTCAGAGAAAGAACATATTTAATGGTAGTATGGAAATTTTGCAATTTTGCAAGTGGAAAAAAAATCACCTGATACATTATTTTGTAATTTGTTTATTCCTAAGTTTTTATTAGGCGGTGAACTTGCTCGCAAATAATAAAATGGAGAGGGTGAAATTTTACTAAATAAGAAGCAAAATTAATTCTGCGTTGCATGACAGTTAGTCAATTTGTGGATTGGACTAAGCGAATTTATAGTTTGCAAATTAATGCAAAATCGGACTTGATATGAAAATTTGTATTCAAATATTGTACTAGATTTGTCCTTAAATATGTCAGCGTCTCATACCGAAAATAAATTAAGATGGTGAATTTTGCTTAAAAAATTTTAGGCTGGTTTAGTCAAGAGTGGAAATGTACGATTTTTGCAAAATATAACATGGTGCATTGCTTTAAATGAGTTTTTTATTTGCGAATTTCTTCCTTGGCGTTGAACTGGATATGACACCTGGTGCATTGTCATGAATAAATTATTTTTTGCGAAATTTGTCATTTGGCATTGAACTTGCTCAGTTGGAATTCTAATAAGATGAAGAGTGGCAGTTTCGGCACACCCATTTAAAAAATTACGCACATTTTGAGATATACTAATTTTAAAATAATTTTACTTATTTCAAAATTTTGAAATTAGAGATTTTTGAATGTTCTTGAGGCAAAATTAAATTTATTGATTAGCAAAAAATTTGCACATAAAAAATGGCGAAATATAATCTGAAGTATTTATAGATTAAGAATTACGCGAAATATGGGATATAATAATTTAGAAATAATTCTATGACTTATTCCTAAATTTTGAATTTTGGATTTTTCTTCCAGCAAAATTAAATTTATTAGCAAAAATTGTACACATTTTAACCAAAAACTGGGAAAGTGCCCAAATTGAGTATTTGCATATAAAAATTATGCAAATGGTAAGATTTTTGTCAAGTTCTGGCCCAAAAATTAGCACATTTTGGTAATTTTTTTTTGCTATTTCTCATTTTCCTCTTCTCGACTGCAATGTAATTTATGTACTTTGTACCTGAAAATCATCATTTGATAAATGATTTTTCAAATTTTCATATCTGGCGTTGAACTTGGTCTGACATTGACAAATAAATAAATAAAATGGTGTGTTGAATTTTTGCTGAATTCACCGAGTAAGAAATGACTTCGGGTTGGGCCGTAAAGTGTCAAGTTTAATAAATAAACCAAACCAAACCACGTAACCACATCGTTTAGATAGAGATCTAGATATGCAAATATGCAACCATTCGACCACCTGACCAAACCAAACCAGGTTTTATTTTATTATATGCCCAAGTTAATAAATTTCCGATTGGTATCGCATTAAGGAGTCAACTGTCAATTTGCCAAAGTGCTTGTGGCGAATTTTTTTTCGCAACTTTTGGCACACAAGAAGGGAGCTAGGGTGTAATGACCACCTCGCTCGATACAATGACCAGAAGAACCCACCCATCAACTTTGTTTGACGTGTGGTGCGATTCACCTTCAACCGGACTAAAAATCTGCAACAAAGATCTGCAAAAGTCTTAACGACCTAAAGACATTGCTGGGGGACGAAAAAAGTATGTAAAAATACTGGATGGATCTTGTGCAAAAATTGAATCGTGCACACAATCAATTCCTGTTTACTTGAAAAGTTATGTTGTTGTATGTATGTGCAGAATTATGCAAAAATGAGCAAGTTACGTATGTATGTACGACGTATGTATGTAAATTAGCTAAATCGCTGTGGATGTGTCGAACTCAACCTGTCCGGAATTAATGACCTTTTTGTTAAATAAGTACCGAATCGCAATAAGTTTGTTTTTAGACCAGCAGGATCTCATCAAACCTTGCCCTTTAGGTCTTTGTTATTTATTTGCATGCAGAAACGAGTACCTAACTATGTATGTATGTATGTGCAAATTTATTGCTGATTTAGTGCCGATTTTTTGGCTTGGATTGGTTTGGTTTTGCAAGTTTGTAGTTGTTAAATTCTTGTCCAGTCCAGTCTCTGCATTCAGTTCGGGTCGAAGAGGTTCATCTTGAGTGATTTACATATTTTTAAACAGTATTAAGGAAGGATGAAAATCGCAATTTTTCTCATCGTGGGGGTTGTCGTGGGGGTGATTGGCTCGGAAAATAATGAAGGTAAGGAGAAAAGTTATGTGCAATTTTTTTGCAAATTGGGATATGTTGACGTATTCCATATTTTTCTAGCGTTTCACGACAAGCACCACAGTTTTTTGCAAAGTTTTACAACCCCATATTTTTGTAGCGTCTCATGACACAACAAGCGCCAAAGTTTTTTGCAAATTTTAACATCCCAATTTTTTGTAGAGCATCGTCACAAGCGGTACAGTTTTTGCTAATTTTGCAATTTTAACATCATTTTATGACGGCTCGCGACAAGCGCCACAGTTTTTTTTTACAAATTTCTGTAGCGTCTCATGACAAGGGCCAGTTTTTTTTACACATTTTTACTTCCACATAATTTTGTAATTTCTCATGACAGGCGTCACAGTTTTTTTTGTACATTTTTCTACCTTGAATCATCCCCATATTTTTGTAGCGTCTCATAACAAACTCCAGTTTTTTGCAAATTTTCACATTTAAGTATTTTTGTAGCGCCCCGCGACAAGCGCCACTTGGTCCTCGTCCCACAACCGATCATGTACGTTCCTTCAATCCACCACCCTCCTTCATCGGTGATGATGATGCACAGAAACCCGTCCCCTCCTCCGGTCGCGGTCAGTGTCCCCTGCGGGTCCCCAGCTTATCGGTGTCAAGGGTCCTGCGATGCCAACGGGGTGGGAGGCATCACCGCCGTGAAGGGGGAGTACCCTTGGCTCGCGCAACTCTACACCGGATCAAGATTCGTCTGTTTGGGGAGTATCATTGATAACTACAACATTCTCACGTCCGCGTCATGCATAGAACCGTATGCAAATTATTTAGTATATCGTTATAAATCTGGTATTAAAATAATACCAAGCGGTATTCATATACGTATGTATGACTCTGCCAAAAGGGTATTAATAAGTAAAACCACGTAGGTAGGAATAGCTCCAGATTAAAGTTTTACCATAGTGGTAATAAATTTTTATAGTCCGGTATAATTTTAATACCAAGTGGGACTAACTTTAATACCGAGAAATCAATACGTGCCTGACTATACAAAACTTCTTACAGTACAGGTATTAATTTCGAAGGTATCAAACTTGCTCCAGCTGGGTATTAAAATTATAAGTACCTGACTATAAAAATTTATTACCACTATGGTAAAACTATTACTACACCATATTACTTATCAATACCACTTTGGTAGAGTCATATCTATGTATATGAATACCGCTTAGTAATATGATTTTAATACTGGATTTCCGAAAGTGTAGGGAAAAAATTGGCAAAATTTATTTGCAGACTTTATTTTAATGAATTTGAATATTTATGTAGATCCACGCCAGCTTCCGTGGCCGCGCTGCGCGTTCGTTTGGGGGACTTTAAGCTGAACACGAATGAGGATGGGCAATACGTCGAGAAGAATGTGACCACGGTTTATAGACACACGGATTTCCAACCTCAAGGGAAAAATCCAGCGGTACGTGACGGTCTAAATTCTGTGTAGAAAACCTTAAAATTTGCATCTTTTAGAGTAAAGAAAATTTAAAATGTGTATCGTTTTTTGGTAGAAAATCATAAAATTTACATAATATATGTTTCTGAGTCAAAAACCTTAAAATTTGTATCCTTTTGGATAGAAAGCCTTAAAAATGTATATCTTATTTAATCGAAAACTTTAAATCTTTTGGATTTGTAAATTGCTACAATTTGTATGTTTTCATTTCAAAAACTGTTACTTATGTATGTATATTGTTTTAAAAAAAAATGGGTATGTTTTTGAGTCAAAAATTTCAAATTGTGTATTCATTTTGGGTCAGAAATTGTTAAAATTTGTAGTAAAAAATTGTGAATTTGATACATTTTTGAAATTTCGGTAGGTCCATGACATCGCAATTCTACGACTCACGGAACCCATCACCTTTACCGAGTACATTCGTCCCATTTGCATCGACGACGGGACGCCACGCGTCGACACGGGCTATGTCGAAGGAATCCTGGCCGGATATGGAAAAATCTCCTACTCCAACCGCCCCACGACGGATGTTTTGCACAAAGTCAATGTGCGAATCGCGACGCCGACAGAGTGCCAAAGCGCCTACATGCCGTACGGCGTGGCGCTGAGGGACACGCATATTTGCGCCGGGACGCCGACCATTCCGTCCGTCGATCCCTGCGTGGGAGGAGAAGGGTGAGTTTTTGAAAATTTGGGAAATTTTAGGGGAAAATAATTCTTGGAAATTTTGACCAGATATTTTGAACTTGGGATTTTCGTTGTGGCAAATTTATTAGTGAGAAATTTTGCACATAAAACACTAATAAAACACTCTTCACTTTTATGTATTAAAAATTAGGCAAATTTTGAGATGTGATAATTTTGAAATAATTTTAGGATTTATTTCTAATTTTTTTAGATTTTTCTTGTCACTAAATTAAATTTATTAGCAAAAAATCTGCACATTTCGGCCAACTGGGAAAGTGTCCAATATTGAATATTTATGTATTAAAATTACTCAAATTATTAGATTTTTTAAACTTCTGACAAGTTTTAGCAAAAAAAATTAGCGCATTGATTTTGGTCAAAAACTTACCAAAATAAATTACGCAAATAGATTTAGATCAAAATTATAACAAAAAAACACGCTATATGTCTGTATCTGTATGTAAAAATGTGCAAATTAATTAATTTGCATAAATTCGCGAACTAATTAATAATTGTGTATTTTTTGCAGTGGTCCACTTTTCGTGAAAACGGGAGCCAACACGTTTGAGCAGGTGGGAATCGCGTCGTATGGAATTTCTTGTGCTGGACCGCAAGCCGTTTACACGCGTGTCAGCGCCTACCGAGCTTGGATCGAACAAGTCAGAATGCAGACGTTTTAACGGACTTTTTGAAAAATATTTATTCAAAATGTAGTTTTGTTTCTTGAAAAATTTTATCAAAATTTGAACATGTATGAATTTTTGTAATTAGAGAAAATCTTTGTCAAATGTATGACTTGTAGAAAAAATAAAACAGTTCTTAATTGATAAAAGCAATTTTAAAGGTGTGTCGATACTTCTTTCAGCCCGGTTTGAAAGTTTTAATAATATGAAAGTGGAAATTTGTATTCGAAGTAATTTTAATGAATAAAAAAGGTTTGCATAGATGAATATTGATATTTATGAAATATAGATTTTGTGAAGTTTTTGAGAAAAATTTGTAAAATTTAATGAGTAATATTTACTTCACATGTAAATCTATTCTTTTTACTTTTTGATCTAAAAATCCCTTTTGAAATCAGGAAATGCAAATTTCCAGTTATTTCTTTACACCTAGAAGTTTAGAAAATCTTTGTTATCTGTATGTTTTTGTGAAAAAAATAGAGCAGTTCTTAATTGGCAAACATAATTTTAAAGATATATTGATGCTTTTTTTAAAATGATATGAAATTGGATTTTTTTAAAGATGTTGATATTTATGAAATTAAGTTTTTGCAAAGTTAGGCGTCGGAAAGAAAAATTTGTAAAATTTAATGAGTAATATTTACTTGACAGATCAATCTCTTCTTTACACTTTTTGATTAAAAAAAATAATCCGTATGAAATCAGGCCAGTTATTTCTTTACACCCGAAATAATCTAAAAGTATATAAAATCTTCGTTATCTGTATGTTTTTGTGGAAAAAATAGAGCATTTCTTAATTGACAATTTTAAAGATATATTGATGCTTTAAAAAAATGATATCAAATTGGATTTTTTTGGAAAAATGTTGATATTTATGACAAGTTTTTGCAAAGTTTGGGGTCGGAAAGAAATATTTGTTAAATTTAATGAACAATAACATATTGGATAAAGGTCGTACGATCAGAAAAGTGATGTATTTTCATAGTTTTTAGGAATTAGAAAATTTTTAAATTTAAATTTGGGCTTTTTGTGATGATTTTTTTAACTGAAAAATTTACTGATATCAATCCATAAATCAAGAAAAATGCAAATTTCAAAATTTTCATCCTAGATGAGCTATAAGGATATAAAAACTGGGCGTATTTGTAGGAAAAATTGAACCATTTTGTTTATTTATGAATGCAATTCTTCCCGAGAGATTACTCTATGTGTAATTAGAGAAAATCTTTGTAAGCTTTGATGTAAATTAAAATAGGAAATTTTAGTAATTTTTTGGAAAACTTTTTTCAAACAATGGGATCGAATGGTTTTCGAGAAATATTGATAATTACGAAAAAGGGTTTTTTGTGTAAAGCTTTGGCCCCGAATAGAAATTTTGGAAACTATTTTATATTAATAATTACTTTAAAGATTATTTTTCGGGGGTGTATTCGTTTTTCTTAGGTGAAGCTATGGTGATCTAATGATTAAAAAACACTTAAGTATGCATTTACTACATCGTTCAAAAGTATCAAAACCACATTACTTTACCATTTCTTAACCGATTTTTGCGAAATAAGTGCCGAGAGTTAATTATGAGGCCTACTTTTGGATTCCAACTCTGGTCGGTTGTGAGATATTCTGTGACCCATTCCTGAGATATTCTCAAAAAACACCCTCCAAAAAGTGACATTGCTTTATACGAAAAAATTGAGGACCTAAATCAAAAATGTACTGTGAAAAAAAGTTTCTAAATATTTTTAGCTTTCAATTAACTTTGAGATAATCCAAATCGGTTAAGAAATGGCCACAATATTCATAAATGCAAGTACCACTGCGTACGTGGTGGTATTGCATATTGCTATGGTTCGTTGCTATTGCAAGTATTTTAATCGCACTTCCCTTCGCTTCACCTAAGCCGCCCGTTTTAGGGATGTATCTTGTTCACAGTTCCGACAATTGAAATTTTTAAACATTTCTAAAAAAAGGCGAAAATAAAATTGATAAGCACGCAAAGCTGTATGAAGATAAGTGAAAATTGCAAGATTTTCCAACCAGGTGCTTATACTTTATTCACGTAATTATATGAAAATTTTACTAATTTTCCAATCAAAATGAAATTCAGTGTTTTGAAGATTTAGCATCGCTTAGAAATATTTGCAAAATTTTAAATTACTTTAAAGATCATCAACTCCAAAAAGTTTAATGGCTTTTTATAATTTCATAAATTAAAATTCGTAATGGTTTTTGAAAAATTATTATGAAAATAAATATTATGAAAATAAATTTAAAATTAAAAGATTTATGTACCGGAGATAATCTGAAATTATTTGCTCATTTCACTTATGAAATTCCCTTAATTACATGCAAATGAAAATTTTTCTAACTTATTTGAAGGAATTTTTAAACGAATGGAAGAGTTTTAAATAGACAATTGATATTTCTGAAATTTACTTTCTACGAAGTTAGGCGTCTGATAGCAATATTTGCAAAATTTAAAATCGTAATTTACTATAAAGATCACTTAGTTAGTCGAACAGGTTTATTTGCTTTTCATCATTTCGTAAATTGAAATTAATGATTTTCATAAAAAAGGGGAAATTTATCGATATCCATTGATTGAATTAGAGATGGGTATGAAAATAAATGAAAAATTTCAGCCTTTTCATAGTCGAAATGCTCTATGAAGAATTAGACAAAATCTTTGTAATCAAAGATTGAATTGCAGAAAGCAGAATTGCAAAGGTTTGCGTGTTGCAGAAATATTTTTATAGTTTTAATGTTGTAATTACTTTAAAGATTGCAGAAAACTGAACATTCATTTTCATTATTTATCATAATTTAGTAAATTGAAAATTTTAATGCATATTTTTAAAAATGGGAAATTTATAGCTATCCATTCATACCTGTTCACTTCCATTCATGACTTTGACTGATTTTGGTAGAGAATGATAGTAAATGAAAATGAATATCCTGTGATTTGAATGAAAGATTCAGTCATTCCAGATGAGTGCATGTGAATGAAGGGATTCTCACTCCTTTCAATTTTCGCCCTATGCTTAATACAAGTAAGAAATGAAGTCAGATGAAGTGCAGTGAAGTGAAGTGAAATGAAACGAACTTGAACAAAAATGATTGAATGTGAATGAAAATCTTCAGTTAGAAATCGGGATGACTGACCTTTGAATGAAGACTATATTTTTGAACATGTATGCCTATGTATGTATATTTATCCTAGGAAAGATGCAATTTTTGTTTATACCTTCTCGAATAATAATGAGGCAAAAAATGCCTAAACTTGACGTTTTTTACACGGGTGAGGGCTTATTTACCCGGCATGATGATTGTCTGTTTGTATATCGCTATGAAACTAAATGCAACTTGTAGGTTTTAGAATACCAGAAAGATACTCTGCGTGTAATTAGAGCAAATCTTTATTATCTTTGAATACGAATTAAAAATGGTTAATTTTAGTAATTTTTTGGAGATTTTTTTTCAACAATGGAATCAAAGGGTTTTCCCGAAATATTGATAATTATGAAAAAAGTTTTCACGTAAAACCTTGGAATAGAAATATTTGATCTATTTTTTATTACAAAAATAAATTATTACAAATAAATAATAACCAAAATGATTTTGCATTTAATTGAATGCATAATATTAACGTGAGGCAAAAGTTGTTAAGTATTAAATTTAAAAATGTGCTCAATGCTCTTGTTTTAAAGTTTTTAGTTGCACCCTCACCGAAGAATGCTGTTTTTGAATGTAGTTTTATTAATTTATACAAGCAATTTTATTGGCACTTTTTACATAAAAGTGGAAATTTTTATTCGAATTGACGAATTTTTTTTTGATAAACTTTGACATTTATGAAATTAAATCACGAGGATAATGTAAAACGGATTTTTGATTCGAATTGAGGAGCTTAGATATTTATGAATACGGTTTTAGCAAAGTTTGGCGTCCGAGAGAATTATTTGAAAAATTCTAAATAATTAATTACGTTAAGATTAGTTACTGCTTAGGGATTATGTACTCGTTATGGTTGCCTGTTTGTCTGTCTATCGATAACGGCGATAAAATGTGTCAAATCGACGTGAAATTTAGACGCATGTTCATTGTGCAAAATTAGGAATCAATTTTTAGATATAAATGAGAAATTTCAGTAGAAAATAAAATTTGTAAAATATTGTAAATGAAAACGCCGAAATATGTTTTTATGTAGAATTTCATACGATCAATATCAATGTGATTAGATAGTGTACAACTGTAGGAAAACTTGGGAAAACAATTCTTGTAAAGTGGCAATTCTTGGAAGATAAAAATATTTCAAAATTTTTCAGAAATTCCCTGTGAAAATTACAATTTATATTTATACTCAAGCAATAATTTGGCAAAAAACTTCCACATTTTATCTAAGAGTCTGGGCTTATGTACCCGTCATGGTTGTCTGTCTGTTTATCGTTCACGCTCGTATAAGTTATCGTATTATACACGAAATTTTACAGATACGTAGAGCATGCAAAATTACGAATCAAGTTAAAAAATGAAGAAAATGTGGGGGAAAATTAAAAAAAGTTATACCTACCTCAATTTTTAGTAACACCCTGACTTTTTTAGATAAAAAATCGACTAGACAAAACTTGTTAAAATTTTTTCATGAAGACCCCAAAATATATTTTTTGTATTTATAATCTTATAAGTAGAATGATTAGATAGTGATTTTCTTTCTCTCCTAAAAAATTTGTGCAAAAATTTCACTTTTTACCAATGTTTTGAAAATATGAAATATACAATAAATATTTCAAAATTTTTCATATACATATGGACTTTCATTCTGGGAAAAATACAATTTTTGGTTGCATGTACTTGGTCAAATATAATGAGGTAAAAAATGCCTAAAAGTTAACACTTTTTCACCCGGGTGGGGGCTTATGTACCCGTCTGTCTGTATATCGATTATCGCTCCGGATATGTACTTGCCAAATCGAGTTGATATCTGGATACACGTGAAACCTGAAAAATTAGGAGGCAAGTTGGAAGATGAGAAAATTGTGTGTCTGGCCTTATATGCCTGACACGGGTGTCTGTCTGTCTTTCGATTACATTCCTATTCAACACTTATCTAATCGACTTAAAATTTTGTACAGACGTGGAAAATGCAAAATTAGAAG